CCCCCCATCATTCCGTTTTTGCTATCGAACTTTTTCGAAAACGAAAACAAAAAAAAAAACAAAAAAAAACAGAAAAACAGCAAATCCCCATCGCACCTAGTCGGGGAGAGGAGATCAGCCCTCCGTTCGGTGTTCCACAACCACTGATCCTACATGGCAACCACTGATCTTTGATCCTACATGGCATTGCCCCCCATCATTCCGTTTTTGCTATCGAACTTTTTCGAAAACGAAAACAAAAAAAACCAAAAAAAACAGAAAAACAGCGAATCCCCGTCGCACGTTGTGGGGGAGAGGAGATCAGCCCTCCGTTCAATGTTCCACAACCACTGACCCTACATGGCAACCACTGATCTTTGATCGTACATGGCATCGCCCCCATCATTCCGTTTTTGCTTTCGAACTTTTTCGAAAAAGAACGCCAAAAAAAAACCAAAAAAAAAAAAAAGAAAAACAGCAAATCCCCATCGCACTTTGTGGGGGAGAGGAGATCAGCCCTCCGTTCGGTGTTCCACAACCACTGATCCTACATGGCAACCACTGATCTTTGATCGTACATGGCATCGCCCCATCATTCTGTTTTTGCAGTTGAACTTTTTCGAAAACGAAAAAAAAAAAAAAAAAACAGCGAATCCCCATCGCACTTTGTGGGGGAGAGGAGATCGGCCCTCCGTTCGCTGTTCCACAACCACTGGTCTTTCATCGTACATGGCATCGCCCCATCAGACCGTTTTTGCAAACGAGCTTTTCCGAAAAAGAAAAAAAAAAAACCAAAAAAAAAAAGAAGAAAAAGAGCAAATCCCCATCGCACTTTGTGGGGGAGAGGAGATCAGCCCTCCGTTCGCTGTTCCACAACCACTGATCCTACATGGCAACCACTGATCTTTGATCCTACATGGCATTGCCCCATCATTCTGTTTTTTTAGTCGAACTTTTTCGAAAACAAAAAAAAAAAAGAAAAAGAAAAAAAAAAAAGAAAACAGCGACTCCCCATCGCACTTTGTGGGGGAGAGGAGATCGGCCCTCCATTCGCTGTTCCACAACCACTGATCTTTCATCGTACATTGCATTGCCCCATCAATCCGTTTTTGCAAGGGAACTTTTCCGAAAAAGAAAACAAAAAAAAAAAAAAAACAAAAAAAAAAAACAGCAAATCCCCATCGCGCTTTGTGGGGGAGAGGAGATCAGCCCTCCGTTCGCTGTTCCACAACCACTGATCTTTCGTCGTGCATGGCATCGCCCCATAAATCCGTTTTTTCAATCGAACTTTTTCGAAAAACAAAACAAAAAAAAAAACAAAAAAAAAATAAAGAAAAACAGCAAATCCCCATCGCCCCGTAATTGGGTTTTTGCAATCTAACTTTTCGCTGTTCCACAACAACTGATCCTACATGGCAACCACTGATCTTTGATCCTACATGGCATAGCCCCATCATTCGGTTCTTGCAATCTAACTTTTCGAAAAAGAAAACAAAAAAGAAAAACAAAAAAATTAAAGAAATACAGGAAATCCCCAGTGCACTTTGTGGGGGAGAGGAGATCCACACCCACTGATCTTTGATCCTACATGGCACCGCCCCGTCACTCCCTCCTCGGAATCGAACTCTTTCGAGAATGAAAACAAAAAAAAAGGGAAAAAAAAAAACAAAAACAGCAAATCCCCATCGTACTTTGTAGGGGAGAGGAGATCGGCCTTCCGTTCGCTGTTCCACAACCACCGATCTCTGATCCTACATGGCAAAAAAAAATAAAGAAATACAGCGAAACCCATCGCACTTCGTGGGGGAAAGGAGATCGGCCTTCCATTCGCTGTTCCA